CTACAGGCCTGGCAGGACCTGGATTTCAGGACCGAGTTCCTCAGCAGCCCCTCTGCCAAGGCCAGCACCATGCTAAAAACACCCTGAGAAGTCTAGAGAGTGTCCCTAAGCTCTGATGACCCCTGGCACCTGAAAATTGCTTTACTTCAGCCAAGGATAAGTAAAACTGCTTGTCTAAGAAAACTGGAGAAATCACAGACAAAGCCCAGGAGCCACGGTTATCATTTGCAGCAGAAATCTGCCCCACCCAGAGGTCCCTGGCCTGGTCTTGCTGCCCAGAATTCTCACTACACAGCTACCAGAAACCTGGAGCCTTTGGGTACCTGGGATCCAGGAGCCTTTGATCTTCAGGCCTGATGACTGTCATTTCCAGACTGAAGCCATCCATAGCAGGGAATACAGAAATGAGACAATGGGACCAAGAGTAAGCCAAGAGCAAAATCCTTGTACTCTGCACCTGAATCAGGTCTTCTTCTGTCTCAGCAACCACACTCCAGTGCATCCCGACCTGGTGGACTCTGGTGCTCCACAGGCCAGGCTATTCCAGTCTTTCCTTGATCACCAACCTGGGTGGCTGAACACCAACTGGGCATTGGCACTAGATTGGAAAAACCGACTGAGATTTCAAATGGGAACTAGAGCATAGACTCAGCTTAAATGCCAACAGAATCTCATCTCACTGGAGACTCAGTTTCTGAAACAGGAGCCTGATCCTTGTAGAAACTAAGCAATTCTTTTGGTGTGGACATAGAATGCTTGTCCTGGGTAAGTGTTGGAAAATGCACTCCACATTTAAGTTTTAAATTTTATAAACGTTTTTGTGAATGATTTGGTTCTGCCCTTACATTTGTTCCTCTTTGGGAGAATCCTTACCTTAGAAAAAAATTCCACTGAAAATAATTGGTTTTTTACTTTAAAGTGATTTTGAAGCTCCATTACCAAAATATATATGTATTGTAATTATAACTTCTGGCACATCCTCGAATGGTTTTGCCCTCTTTGATTTGTTTTTAGTTTCACAAACTTTAGAAAACATTACATTTGGTTAAGATATCTCTATGTCAGTGCAAGTAGAGGAACCTGATTTAAGACTTGGTGTGTGAGGCATTCAGAAACTGCTTTCCTTCAATTTACATTCAAAAGATCAACTCTCATGAAATGTGCTTTTACAAGAATGGCCTATAATGAAAAGATAGACTTTCTAGGAAGAGGACAGCACTTCATTTAAAGGATGAACATTTATTCAAAGTGTCAAATCTTGATGAACACACTGTCTTTTAAGACTGCTCCAGCATTTATTTAAAGAACTGACTTCAGTTAAAAGACCAAGTCTGTATTAAAAAGACTGTGGTTTTATTTTTATGGTTTGAGAAAGTGTTTCTTTGCACAGCCCTGGATGTCCTGGAACTAACCACGTAGACCAGGCCGGCCTTGAGCTCCCACAGATCCTCCTGCCTCTCATTCCAGATTGCTTGGATTAAAAGTGTGTGCCATCAAGCTTGGCTCAAAAGATTGACTTCAGAATTTTATTGCTTTCTTTCCCTGTCTTTTTTCTCACTCCATCCCCTTTTATGTATCCATATGGTAATGCCTTCTTTCCTCTGTATTTTCTACATATATGTGTTATTTTTGTGAGGGTATCCATGTGTGTTGTGTGTATTACTAAATACATAAACACAACCTGATTAGTCTGTACAGTGTCATTTGTATGAGTATGCTTTCAAGGCTGAGGACTTGGCCTTGGATAACCATTGGGGCTCTTCCCTGGGAAAGCTGTTTCTCTTGCTTTCCTTGTTTTGTTTGTTTTGCTGTTTGATGTCTTGGGGCTTGTTAGCTGTTGTTTGTTTTCTGAGACAGGTTTCTCTGTGTAGCCCTGGCTGCATTAGAACTTTCTCTGTAGACCATGCTGGCCTCAAA